GATCGTGAGGATCAAACACAGCTTTCTAGGGTTGTCGTAAGAGAACTAGCACACTAAGTAGGGTGCTGACAAGATGCAGACGTGAAAGAAAACAAGGATCGACTGACGAGTCCAGGATCGAGATGCGATTGGGTCAGCAGAGCAGCGGCTCCGAGTGCCAGAGACACGTCTCGGTTGACTAGGGACCCTGGCCCTCTCGCCCTGTCAGTATTCGGTTCAAGGTCTACCATGTAACATCGAGCTGCCAGGGATCACGGGAGCGTCGCCAATCCTCCGAAGCGCAAACCGGATCTGGGTGACACGCCGTCTTTGATGCTAGCGCGCGGTCGATCGGTTGGCATGTGTACCTGGGGAACGTCATTGCAGTTATTGGCAGTGACGTTGTGGTTATCAGAGACAGGAGTAATTAACAAAAGGGTTTGATCCCACGCGGGGAAAGTTCTGTCACGAGAATGCTCTGCGGGGAAGACGAACGGCATAAGTTCTTCTTAATCATAACATACTGCATAGTACTCAACGACTGGACTTGTCTTGATGTTGAAATGCCAACACTTGTCAGCTGTTGTCAGGGGTGGGTGGTCAAACCACCATCGGGCGCCGCGGCATCACAAGATAAAAGTTCAGAAAGGCGACTCGCCTGCCGCGCATGACAGCCCTATAGGCTGTTGACATACGTGAGTAAGGTTTCGCCAAGTTGGCCAATACGTGGGGGCCCGAAGCCTGGTAGGTTTGCGTAGTAGGATTTTCTGTCCTCAAAGAAAGTATACGAGGATCCAGTGGAGAGATCTACGAAACCAGGCTATGCCGCTGCGACGTGAGGTTTGCAGCTGGGTCTGTCGTAAGATCGACGCTAGATATGTTTCACTAAGTGCTCAAATCCGGGGAATCTGGCAATGCTCTGCCCACTGCACGTCAGGTAACGTCCAACATAGACATTGATGCTAGTATTGCTCCGATACGAAGGAGGCCGCTGAGTTCTGCTATATTCGAACGAGCGGTGACCCAGCGCGCATCCTGACTCAACATGTGCAATGTCAAGGCCGGCCGTAGATGTTGATGTGTCAAACATGGCTAGCACGGTATAGCTAAGTCGTAACGATCGTAAACGATGATCAAAGTATTGAACAGTCGCTGAAATAAAGAACGAGACCCATCACGAAAGGAACAATTTAATCGGTAACTGTGATGGTGAAAGAAAGCCTCAATGATGATTTGCTACAGGCTAAACAAGCTGTAAGGAGTATCCCGGTCTGTACTTTATTCCTCGTCCTCCTCTGCTGCGTCTTCTGCCAAATCGACCACGTTCGCCTTCGTCGCACCTCCAGCCGCACCACCAGTAAGACCACCGAGAAGGGCACCGATTCCTCCAGCGCCACCAGCGCCCGCCGCACCGCCAGCTGCACCTCCCGTGAGACCTCCGAGGAGGGCACCCAAGCCTCCGGCGCCGGCGGCGCCACCAGCACCGCCCGCACCACCACCGAGGAGACCACCGAGCAGACCCTCAAGACCCCCAGCGGGGGCCTTGGGAGCAGCAGCGGGTGTCTTCGGGGCAGCAGGGGCAGCAGCAGGAGTCTTGGGTTTAGCGGGAGCAGCAGCAGGGGGAGCAGTGGTGTTAGTCGCAGGTTTGGCTGGAAAGCAAGAGTACCATGGTTAGTATTCGATTATGTTTAAATTCTCGGACGGACGGACGGAAACGGGGGAGGCGCGGGGGACGGCGCGCGACGGAGGGGGGGTGCTCTACGCACCACCAGCGGGAGCGGCACCACCAGCGGAGTAGGCCTGGATGCCCTTGTCGAGGGCGGCAGTGATCTGGTCGATGCTCTGCTGTGCGATGCCCTGGCCGATAGCGGGGACCTTGGAGACAATGGCGGTTCCGAGGCTGGCGGAGGCGGTCTTCTGTTGCTGGAGGTTCTGGAGGACAACGCTGGAGACACCAATCTGATCGAAGTTGGGCTTCTTGGAGACGAGAGTGTCAATCAAGGTGGTTGCGGACGAGGTCAGATCGGTAGCGGTCTGCTGAAGTCCGAGAGCCTCCTGAAGCTGGAGAGGCTGAGCACCCTGAATGTCGGTGGCGGCCTTTGACAGGGTGTTCTGGACCTCGGTGGACGCAGCCAGAATAGGTTGTGCGGATGCAACATCGTTACCAACGCCCTGAAGTATGCATGTTAGTCAAAATGTCCAGTGTTCTGCGTTCCTGCATATCCCATCTTTGCATCAGGTCGAAGCCGAAGCTTTCCAACGGTACCGTATGCCCGATGTTCGGACTAACGTACCTGGACAGCGGTGTTGAGCTTGGTGAGAGCTCCCTGGACAGAGGTGACGGCGCCCTGGATGACGGAGAGTTGACGCTTCTCGATGGGGGAGGCGAAGGCGGTGCCGACGAGGGCGAAGAGGAGAGTCTTGGTCAGCTGCATTTTGGTAATAAGTCACTAGCCAGAGTGATCTGTTGTGGGATCAAGGGATGATTAGGAATAGAATAAGAAGTAGAAACAAGTCTCCAACCCGGGAGTATATAAGTAAGAAGCGTTGGAAAAGTCTGTGCTGACAAGGTTTGATGGATGAGGATGCTTTTTCATCCCCGATTGTGAGCCGGGAACCATCAAGCTGATATATGAGTGACCGGATGGCTGCGCGCTGACCTCATGTGCCACGGGCAGAAGCAGTGAAGCACATCTTGGTGAGTTCACCTCGGCAGCAACTCTAAGTCCCCTGCACCAAGATAGGCCCAACATACGCACAGCCCCCGAAGCCTGAGACGATGGAGACCATAGAGGTGTGGATATTATTATCGCACCAGACCAACGGCACCACGGCTTGCGGGCAGTTTCTTCGGACGTCTCAAGGTGTTCGAGAGCCCTCCCTTGTTTCTGTGGTGGAGGAGGGGCACGGATTACGTGCCACGTTGGGCCCAGTCTTCACGTCCAAGTCAGCTGCATCTTCTTGGCTGTTGTCGTTGAGTTGAGGGGAGCAGCACTAGCTTCCATGGCGTATTGGCCATTATGCCGCCCCCCTACCGGTGTATATTGACGGATCTAGGATTGCGCCATGTCAAAGTGTGTGCGAATTTGTGTTATGTCTGCCGTTGGTGTGGGGTGGAAAATAGTCAGTTGTGCGCGCTTGCGAGCGTTGAAGTTCAGATGAAACGAAACTCGGCCGTGTAAGTCGTCTCACAAAGTCGACTGCAGCTACCTTTTGGGAAGAGTACAAGGAGCCCCATGTCTGAGCGGCAACGTTTGTTCACAAAATCGTGAGACGTTTGGAGACGTTGAGATTCCCATGCCAAGGACCTCCCTCCGGACAATGTGTGGCAACGGGGGAAGACCGCAGGGTTGAGGCTCTGTCGTCTTCTCACCATCTTACCGTTTTGGGGTTGGTCTGCACCACCACACCCCTTCACCAACGATTCGAGTCAGAGAGTCAAAGACCTTCAGGCGCGACGACATCTGTCATTCGCCGATGGCTTACAGGGACTTGCCGACGATCTGGGCACTCAAATGCAGCAAACAACTCATCACCCCAGAGCCCATCACCCAGCCTCCCGCGCACAAGCCAGGAAAAGGTCTTCAGAACCAATGTATGGGTTTCCTATTCGGGTAATGTAGAGGAGAAACTCTCTCCAGGTTGGTGGGCTTCGCGTAACCGGGATGGTCTCCAAACAGGGTCAAACGGGGTCAGGCTCTAGATCGCCGCAAGGGTTACGAGGGCGGAGACCAAGCACTAGTTGACGGCTCACGGCTCACGGCTCTGCGCCAAAATGGCACTAGATTTAACCTTAGCACTAAGGGAAACGGGGTAAGATGTATGAGGAAACTACCGATCCCCACGAAAACGAAGGTCAGTATGGCATCTCTGGCTCCACCAGGGCACCTATTGCCTCTCGCGGCTCGCAGTTTCTTCATGTGGGGAATGCGCGGTATCGTCTTGGCGGTTCATACCTTGTGCAGCTGGGGAAGCGATGATGTCGCCGCCGGTTTTGGCGTGTCTTGGTTGCATATGGCCTAATCGGCTGACAAGGCATGACGGATGATCGGCTGCCACCCATATCCAGCGACGCAAGGCCCCTCCGTTCATTGACAAACATCGAACCGGAACACGATAGGAGGGCCGGAAGACAAGAGCAGAGACTGCCAAGACAGAGACAGATTGGCCCCGTCGGTCTCTGTTGCCCAATGACCCTGCATGATGGACAATGCGTCGCCTCCTTCGACCACCCATTTCCCTCTTCTGGCAATTCATGAGTCGCCTGGAAGCGGAACAAGAGGCAAAAAGGGGGTTTTGCAAATGGGCAAACGCGGCTTTGGGGTTTGGTGTTGGGTTGCAGACTGCGCGGGAACACGGCCTATCCGTTCCCTTCAGGGTCGCTGCAGAGAGAGAATGGAACGCGGGAATTGTTCGAGAAGACTGTCAGACAGAGCCGTGGTAGTGCCGTTCTCATGTCATGTCCCTAACTACATCGAGTCGAGAGCTTGATGCCGATGCGAGTGCGATTATTCGCCGCACCGGAATGGCGGCAGAGGCGGCCAACGAATGAGACGAAAACCACTGAGTAAGCTGATGTGACAGCCATCCGCGGAATGCGATTCGCACTTCAGCTGACTGGAGCTGGGGAGGCTGAGGGTCTCGACTGACAAACACAGCTGGAAATCTCCGGGGATGCCCTACGGTCTTTTCGGGGGTTGCCCGCGTGTTTTCCACGACCAAGGAGACAGCGAGCCCCCTGCCAAAAGCCCGAAGAATTCGGCCCCGCTCTCGGCGCGGGGATAACGGCAGAGCGGGGCGACCTTCGGCCTCTCGAGGCCCACCCCGGAATCGGTGATTTTGCTCGGTGAATTCATCCCCGCTCGATGTAAGCCGGACCTTAGGCCGAAGTGCCCATTTTGCATTGCAGCGTGTATATATATATCGAAGGAGAGATTTTTTAGACTCGGAAGTCCTGGTTCAAAACCTCGCAAACACACACCTCAGTGAACCAGATTCATCACAACAACCGCAATTCAATCATGAATGACCTCTCCAAGACCTTCAGTACGCTAGCAACTCAGCTTTCGCAGCTGGCAAGTTCGATCTCAAGCGATGTTGAAAAGAACAGCGCCGCCGTTGACATAGCCCGCAGGATCCTCGCGGCAGCTCGAGGACCGACACCAGATTGGATGGACCGGATGATAAATGTCATGGAATTGACTGGACTTAAATTGCTCCTTGACTGGAACGCACTGGCCATGATACCATCGGAGGGCTCGATAACATACGCTGAGTTGGCCAAAAAGCTGTCAGCGGAGGAGCCCTTACTTCGTGAGTCGGCTCACTCAACTACCCAACCTGTCGATGAACGTCGAAACTGACATCAATAAAGGACGGCTAGCCTGGGTGCTTGTTTCTAGTGGGATGTTGCGTCAGGTTGATGACGACAAAATCGCGCATACAGAGAAGTCACGCGAGTATCTTCCCGGGACACCTAATGAACTCCTGCTACACATGATGTGAGACTTGAGTAGACTCACTCGCTCACTGAACAACCGTCTAACATGTTCGCCAGGTTCGAAGAGCATGTTACGACGGCTCTGAAGCTGCCCGAGTACTTTGAACAGTACGGCCGCCGGGAGCCGGCCACTCGCCAGCACACTCCCTATGCCTTTTCACGCGGTCAGCCAGAAAAGGAGATCTGGGAGATTCACCAAGAGAACCCTGCACAGGTAAAGAGGTTCATGGGAGTTATGGAAATGGTGCAGTCATTCATTCCTCTAGCCGGTATCTACGACTTTGGCTGGGTGGAGACGAAGCTGTCTGAGCAGCATGACAGACCGCTTCTCGTGGATGTGGGTGGCAGCAAGGGCCACGCCATCAAGGCGATTATGAAGGAGAACCCTTTTATTCCAGCCGATCGCATAGTTCTCCAGGACAGAGATGAGGTGATTCAACAGGTTGTGGAACTTAAAGATTCGGGGCTCGATGGTGTACACCTACAGGTACACGACTTCCACGAAGCGCAACCTGTCAAAAGTACGTTTACATGCTGTCTAAGTCTCTCTCGTGTCCGTGAAGATCAGCTGACACATGCAGACGCACTGATCTATTGGATCCGGCGATGTCTGCACGACTATGGAGACGACGACTGCGCCACGATGCTCACGCAGCTATCGGATGCCATGAGTTCGGACAGTAAGGTACTCATCGTCGAGTATGTCCTTCCGAGCCCTCCTCCGCCCATTGGCGCCATGACAGACTTCGGCATGCTTGGAATTGGGGGAAAGGAACGGACAGCCAATGACTGGGAGGTGCTTGTTGCTAGGTCTGGGCTCAAGATTGAGAAGATTCATGGCCTGGATATGAAGATGCAGGTCATTGAGTGTGTTAAGGCCTGATTTGGAAATGAACGAGAGCCAGAGCTGTTGTTGATCAACCACGGTAGTTCGTCGTGAATTTTGTAATACGCTCGATAATCACCACTTCTCCTGAATTCCGAGACTTTGTTCAACTGAATCATGATTGTGTCTTGGCCGGAAATGGTGTGTACTGGGATGTTTTAATCGCTATTTTGGTTTTCGATAAACAACTATTGGTCACCTTGAGCGGCATATTTAATCCCGTGGAGTACAAAGATGTCAGCGTGTAAACGGAGCCGCAGACGAAACTTTCCTGCTCTAGGTAATTACACAAACTCATGTTGCCCCGGAAGTTTCTCTGTCTCCATGTTTGTCCTGGAACCGGTCATGAAACAACCTTAAGTCCACCGGCAAACTCTACTTTATTTGACACATGCCTGGGTGCGGGCATATGCGGGTGAGTCCCCGCATAATATGCCTACCTAAATCTTCAATCATTGAACATTGGATGATCCTACCATCGTCATAGTCAGTAGAGGAATGGGGTGGTATATGTGTCAAAACCTGTTATGGACAAACCTTGTGCATCGCCCAAATTTCGTCCAAATAGAACACACGATCAAGATCCGGTCGGACATCTCCGTTGCCAAGCCATGCCATGCGATGGTCATAGTCTTCGGCCCTTTCATATTCGAAGTCTTCCCATCGAGGGTGACGCAGCGCGGTGTACCCGTGTAGACAAGACCCAGGCCACAGGGTTCGGATCTTGGCCTTTCCAGAAGCTCCGTTCTTGTACCACGATTTGCAGTTGCCTGAATCGTGAGAACCATAGTAGATGGAGTTAGTCTCTGTCCCGGCAGTAGAGTTGTGAAAGAAAGCTTGGTAACAAACGGCTCACCTGAATACACAGTTCTGTCAAAGTAATTGTCTGCGTACTGAAGGAAGGATTCGACAGCGTCGTCTTTCACTACGATGCTCTTGTAACCTTCCCGGATGCACTTTTGGATACACTTGGTGACGTAGGCAATTTGTTGCTCCATCAGGATGAGCAGGGACCCTGAACCAACACCTGACTGGACACTTAGGATTGGGAAGCTGTCAAACAGGTAAGCGGCTGCAATATCCAAGGAATTTGAACGCTCAATAATGACGTACAAGTTAGGCATCTGAGGAACGCAGACAGCCAAGTACTGTTTGACATCTGTGGCCCACATGTCTTGCAAATTGATGTTGTTAGAGCCATAGATCGGGAAGCTGGGTACAGCAGAGACATCCTTTCTACGTGTGTTAATCCTGAAATGAGGCGTTGAATAGTGAATGTAGCTCACGAAGCCAGTAGCGCAAATGATTGCGTCGAATTCAAGTTCGCGGCCATCTGCTGTCATGAGACCTTTCTCGGTGAACGATGCTAGCTCTTGAGAACAGAACTCAACATTGTCTGCTGTTAGACTCTCGAGGTAACCTGCAAGAAGTGTCTTGTGTTAGTCAAGTTTTGTTCTTGATGGGCCAAAGACGATTGAAGGGGTTGTGCAAGTAAGATTTCGGTGAGCGTACCCGGCCCCGGCGTGAGGCGTTTGCAGGCAACTGGGAAGTCAGGTATAAGCTTCTCAGCAATCTCAGGTTTGGATGCAAGCTTCTCCAGCATCTTTTCCTCTATGATTCTTCGCGCTTCCAGCTGCAATGGTTGGCCCTGTTCGGTGATCTTGTGCACGGCGTTGAGGCCTCTCTCTAACTCTCGACGGAACTGAGAGTAGAACTCTTCATTCGTAAAACTTTTCCTCTCTTCAGGAGAGAATACATCTGAATGACTTCAGCATCAAAGAGCTCGACTTTCTGAATCTCTGAAGGTACCGACTTACGATTACTAGCGCCTGCACCTTCATTGAGGCGTTCAAGAAAGGCCGAGGCAAATGTAGACGAGATCCATGCTGGTAATGGTTGTCTGGTAAGTAAATTGCCAATAATACCTGCGGAAGAATATTGGTGTGCTTACTGCGACTCCTTACAAAGTTTGTAACATGTTTAGCTTTTCTCTGCATTTGTGGCATGATCTGAATTGCACTAGACCCCTAGACAAGCGCAATATGGTCAGAGAAACTGAAGAACTGTCGATCAGGACTGTGTCTACGACTTACTACGCCAATGACAGCAACTCTTTTGTCTTTCCACGAGAATCCTTCTTGAGCTTCCTCCTTGGCAGCATCCCAATTTGCAGAATGATGCAAAATGCCCCTGAATCTTTCTCGGCCTGTTCACTATTTGTTAGTCCAGCCGTGCTCGCCTTGATGGGCATTATCTAAAGCCTCTCAGTTATAGGATGTGAGCTTACCCGCAATCGTCGGCCATTTGGGCTTTGACAAGAGACCAGTGGCGTACAAAAAGTATTCTGCCTCATCTACTTTCTCCTCATTCTTGTCTAGATCTAACACTCTGACAAACCACTTCCCGCGATCCTGAGACCACTCGGCTCCAACTACTCTGTGACGCAGCTTGATGAGGCTTTGCAACTTGTAGTGATCGACAACTCTCTTCAAGTATCTGTGGATCTCTAGGCCAGGCGCATAGAATTCCGACCACTGGGTGTTCTGGCAGAAGGAGTACTGATAGCTGTGAGCTGGGATGTCGCAGGCGGCGCCTGCGTATCGATTGTGATGCCACACTCCGCCGACATCGTCCGCAGCTTCGTAAATCTGGAAGTCAATGTCTCGTATATGCTCTCGCAGGTGAATTGATGCCCCGATGCCACTGAAACCCGCGCCAACGCAGATGACCCGGACTTTGCGATCAGCGTCAATGGTCCGCTCAAGAAGAGGAGCCGCCCATGAGTAGTCTACTTCCTTCCTGTCACGAGTTTCTTGAGCATGACCCTTACAATAGCTGAAATGGGAGGATTCAGAGCTAAACTCACTGCAGGTCTCCTAGGGAGTTGCCATTGGTTGTGCAATGCGGCACACCATCGTTCTGGATCATGATGAATGATCGAAGGGTTTCAAGTCTCTGTCAAATCCTTTCTGTGAATTATCTAATGGTGTCGTGCTTTCGACGAAAGTCACACGTTGCCTGAGCTTGCCTATGCCTACTCATGCGATCTAGGTCTGTCGTGGTTGAAGGGAGAATTACCCACTGCAGTAACATTGGGGTTCGTCGACACACTACCCACGGCTCACGGCAATCCGACATGACCGCCATGCCGGGTTTAAAGCCGAAAAGAATAGTGTAACCCGCGCATCTCCATGGATTGGTAGGTTTGGCAAGGCTGGTGTTTGGGTGAACGAATTCAGATGAGGGGTAAGTTCGGCAGATGTTAGCCAACCCCCCACGAGACTAAACATGGCTGCCATAGGGTACACAGGAGCAACACCTTCCTTAGCAGTCGTCATAGACACTTCCGGCTATTCCACGCGGGATACTTCAATCTTGGATGACCATGTGTTGTTTGTGGCTGTCGCAAGCCCGTTTTTCCCTCACTATAGTCTTCACTTGACTCTTCACATCCTTGGCCCGATGCACATGTGCGGCGCGATATGGTGGTTATAATTAAGTAACAAACGGGGGAGCGAAGCATCGATGCAAGATGTCTCTCTTGGTTTTCAAGGCACATGGTGAGATCTCCCATGTTTTGATGGTTTCGTAAAACCTGACGGTTTCTATGAATAAGTCGTCACATTTCCGACATGTTCAGATTGGTTTTGAGATGTAGGGAGCTGAACTTGTGGAGTAGTCCACGTCTAAGACTTAATATACTTCGAAACTTACCTTTCTCAAGTTTTCTCATGCTAGATAGAGTTCCTAAAAAGGTGTTTGGTTTCTGGGTCCAAACGAACTGCTCCGTAAGAGAATAATACTTTGGCCGGGCAAAAAGAGTTAGAACATAAGTCAAACCACCCACTTTTGGCCCACCCCCCCTTTTGGCCCACCCTAATAACATAGTCTTAAAACATCGGCATTAACTATAGTTAATTAATTAACTACCTTCTACTATTATAATAATATAATTAAAATTATCGTTAAGTAATTCGACCCCTATAAGTTAATTAGAACTAACTAGACGGTCGCTAGAGTCCTCCTAAGCCTTTTATATATCCTAAATACTTATAAACTTAGTATTTAAGTTTATTAAAATACTCTTTTTTTTTTTAAGCCTTATATGCTTAACCCTTACCTCTAAAAGTCGAATTTAGTACTAAGATATAGCTAAGTAATAGGCTTATTTACTAAATATTTTTTTTACTTTTTTAAATAGTAGTTATTAAGTAGTATTATTTAGACTAAGCTTTATAAATAGCTTTAAGTAGTTACTAAGCTCGCTAGTTTTTTTAGGAGTTAACTAGTTAATAATAGAGGTTACTAATACTTAGTTAAGTAGTTTATTAGTATTATTAATCGTTTACTTAGCTTTTATACCCCTTTTAAATAGTATAACTTATATAAATAGGACTATTAAGTTAAGAAATAACTTAATTATATTAAGTAGTTATAGTTTAGTTACTTTTTACTTACTTCGTATATTTAATAATATTAAACTAGCTAAACGAGCGAGCTAATAGTAGTTTAAGAAGTACTATTTTTTAATAATAATAGAATTATTTACTATATCCTCCTTACTAAGCTCCTTTTTATAATAGGATTTAATAAGCCTAAAAATAGCTATATTTAACGGCTAGAAAATATAAGAAGTATATAATAATAAGAATAATAAATAGACGTTATTTTTATAATACTCTTATATAAATTCTATTATTATATAACTCCTATACCTATTTAGTACTAATAGTCGAGGCTAATTTAGCTTATTAATCCCCTTAATAAGGGGGGTCTTAGTTTATAATAAAAATACTTTTTTTAATTAATAGAGGGTAGTCTCGTCGGTTATCTAGCTATTATTTATTATTATAAACTTCTAATTATTGTAAAGATTAAGTTAAAGAAGAAACTATTATTATTATACCGACTTTCTTTTATAAATAATTAGTAATTTAATAAATCTATTATTAATAAAAATATACTTAATAATCGTTACCTAAGTACGTAAACTAGGC